GCCGGTTCTAGCCCGGTGGCCCCGCTTCCCTTCCAGCTCCCTGCCTGTGGCCGGGGAAAGCAGTAGAGAACGGCCCAAAGCTCTGGGACCCTGCACCCGCGTGGGAGACCTGGAAGAGTCTCCTGGCTTCGGATCTGCATAGCATCGGTCCTTGCGCTCACTTGGGGAGTGAATCATCGGACAGAAGATCTTCTTCTCTGTCTCCTCTCTGTATATCTGCCTTTCCAATAAAAAAAAATAATAAAAATAAATCTTTAAAACAACAACAAAAAAAAGTAAAGAAGTGCAAATAAGCAAACAACAGAATCAAAGCTCTTGAAAAATCAAGAAGAGCTAGAAGGCCTGATCTTCATCTATTGGGTCACTCCTTCAAAGCCAGCAACAGCCAGCGTTGGGCCAATCCAAAACCAAAAACCCAGAACTACTGTCGGGTCTTGCATGTCAGTGCAATGGGCTGAAGTACTTGGTCCATCACTTGATCCCTCCTAGGACACACATCAGCAGGAAGCTGGATCAGAAGCCAAGTACCTGGTACTTAAACCAACCATGCACTGTGACATGAGATGGAGGTGTTTCAAGCAGCAATTTTAATTGCTAAACTAAACACCCAGCCCATTAGCATTAAATAGGTGTTCCATCAAATAGGGTAAGTTTTGCCTCATATGTATTCCCTTTTCTCCTTCATGATGGATTTATTTGAAAGACTAACACAGAGAAAATGTTTCCATCTATTGGTTCACTCCAAATGGGCAAAAACTGGGCCAGTCAAAGCTGGACCCTAGGGCCCAGCGGCGTGGCCTAGCAGCTAAAGTCCTCACCTTGAATGCGCCAGGATCCCATATGGGCACTGGTTCTAATCCTGGCAGCTTCACTTCCCATCCAGCTCCCTGCTTGTGGCCTGGGAAAGCAGCAGAGGACGGCCCAAAGCCTTGGGACCCTGCACCCGTGTGGGATACCTGGAAGAAGTTCCTGGCTCCTGGCTTCAGATCAGCATAGCATCGGCCATTGCGCTCACTTGGGGAGTGAGTCATTGGACGGAAGATCTTCCTCTCTGTCTCCTCTCTGTATATCGGACTTTCCAATAAATAAATCTTTCAAAAAAAAAAAGCTGGACCCTAGAACTCCATCCAGGTCTCTCGTGTGAGTGCCGAATAACTTTGACTCATCTTAAGGCTCTTTCCTAACCATTAACTGGAAGCAGAGCAGGTGGGACTCAAACTAGTGTTCATTTGTGATGCCAACATCACAGACGGGGACTTAACAGAGATTCACAGAGACAAAGATCTTATTCACTGGTCCACTCGCCAAATGACAGCAATGGCTGGAGCTGAGCTGAAGCCAGGAGCTTCCTCCAGGTCTCCCATGTGGGTGCAGGGTCCCAGTGCGTTGGGCCACTCCAATGCTTTGCCAGGATATAAGCAGGGAGCTGAATGGAAAGTGGAGCAGCCGGGACACGAACCAGTGCCCTTATGGGATCCCAGCACATGCAAAATGAAGGATTCAGCCACTAGGCTGTCGTGCTGGGCCCAATATGTTTTATTTCTAAAACTGTTTCTATATTATATACATTCTGTGAAATTTAATCACTCCTCAATTAGAGTCATGTTAATTCTAAGTGACAGGTTTAAATGTAGGAAATGAAAACATAAGCATATGAAAAAGAAACATGGCATTTGAAATATACCAGAGTGGGAGAAGGAACTACCCAAAAGTTTGCAAATCAGGAATATGGGGTAGGGAGGATATTTGTAACAACATGAACATTAATTTCCTTAAAGAGATTTTTTTTAGAACTTAGCAGCGAAGACAAAAAAAGGCTCACTTTTATAATAGGCAACGAGTAGAAATAGCTCCAGAGAAGCATAAGTTAGTAACAAAAACATGAGCGTCCACACCCTTACTTGGAAGGAGCTACCAATAAATGAAATAACCGAACGCCTGGATACATGGTATGTCAGCAGGTAAATGTAAGACGTGACGATTCCATTCCTGGATGTTTGTCCTACACAACTGTTTGTGAACATATGAAATGCTGTATATGCTGGGATATTTCTTCCAGCATGTCACCGATTGCGAAATGGTTCTATCTCAGTAGGATTCTAAAACAATAAAAGATGTAAGACATCACCCCCACCAACACAAGAACTCAGCAACCCCAAATGCCTTGTGAAAAGTTAGAGCTGTGTGTGCACGTGTGACTACCCACAGACTCTGGAGGAGGGTAGCGTAAATCAGGCAGGGTTGTCTTGAGAGAAGCCAGCTGACTGGGAAATGGGGACGGAAACCTTGGATACCTTTTGAGTTTTGTGCTGTATGTATTCTAATCCTAGTTTAAGCCAAAAAAAAAAAAAAAAAGTGGACTTACCTCTTGTGACAACATATGTCACATTCTCTCATACCCTACTTAAATATCTTCACAGTAAAACCAGAATCTGCATTCCTAAAATAAATAAATAGGGCCCTGTGCGATAGCATAGTGGTTAAGGTCTTTTGCCTTGCACACGTCGGGATCCCATATGGGCGCCGGTTCTAATCCCTGCAGCCCCACTTCCCATCCAGCTCCCTGCTTGTGGCATGGAAAGGCAGTCAGGGCAGCCCAAAACCTTGGGACCCTGCACCCACGTGGGAGACCTGGAAGAGCTCCTGGCTCTTGGCTTCGGATTGGCTCAGCTCTAGCAGTTGTGGCTGCTTGGGGAGTGAACCATCTGATGGAGGATCTTCCTCTCTGTCTCTCCTCCTTTCTGTATATCTGCCTTTCCAATAAAAATAAATAAATCTTTTTTAAAAACTAAAGTAAATAAATAAACATACAAGAACCTGTATTTCTAGCATTCACCAAAACAAAGAATTGGCTAGTCCTGTCTAAAAAAACCATCATCCCATATGGATACTGGTTTGTGTCCCAGCAGCCCCACTTCCCATCCAGTTCCCTGCTTGTGGCCTGGGAAAGCAGTTGAGGACGGCCCAAAGCCTTGGGACCCTGCACCCACATGGGAGATCCAGAGGAAGCTCCTGACTACTGGCTTCAGATATATAATTGACAAAAAGACATCCTCCAGAGTATAATATCAGAATTCCTTCAGGCCCGGCACTGTGGCCTAGCAGCTAAAGTCCTTGCCTTGAACGTGCAGGGATCCGATATGGGCACCAGTTCTAATCCCAGCAGCTCCACTTCCCATCCAGCTCCCTGCTGGGATTCTGCACCTGCGTGGGAGACCCAGAAGAGGATTCTGGTTCCCGGCTTCAGCACCGGCCGTTGCGCTCACTTGGGGAGTGAATCATCGGACGGAAGATCTTCCTCTCTGTCTCTCCTCTCTGTATATCCACCTTTCCAATAAAAATAATAAAGTAAATCTTTAAAAATAAATAAATAAATAAATACACCTTTATAAAAAAAATTCCTTCAAAACTCCTCTCTGGATATTCCTACCAGAGAGTCTTACTTTGGGAATCCCATTGGGGTCCAGACATGCTCATTTTAGGTAACTGTTCAGTGAGACTGATTGTGGCGAGGCTGGAAGTGTCTGCCCATCTCCTCTAAAATGTCTTGCCAACCCAGTGTGTGTTTGGGGTTTGTGTTTGACATACTCTTTTTATTATTATTATTATTATTACTATTCACTTTTTATGGGAAAGATAGATTTACAGAGAGAGAAATTGAAACAAAGACCTTCTACCCACTGGTTCCCCAATAGCCAGAACTGAACTGATCTGAAGCTGAGAGTCTGGAACCTCCTCCAAGTTTCCTCCTCCAAGTCTCCCACGTGGGTGCCAGGACAGAAACCAGCATCCATATGGGATCCGGGCATAGGATCCCTAAGCTGAGGATTAGCCCATTGAGCCATCGCACAAGGCCTGACATACTCTATTTTTTTTTAAGATTTTATTTATTTTTTTATTGCAAAGTCAGATATATAGAGAAGGAGGGACGAGAAAAAGATCTTCTGTCCAATCATTCACCCCTCAAGTGACCACAATGGCCAGTGCTGCACCAATCCAAAGTCAGGAGCCAGGAACTCCTCCAGGTCTCCCACATGGGTGCAGGGTCCCAAGGCTTTGGGCCATCCTCAACTGCTTTCCCAAGCCACAGGCAGGGAGCTGGATGGGAAGTGGGGCTGCCGGGATTAGAACTGGCAGCCCACATGGGATCCCAGCGCGTTCCAGGCAAGGACTCTAGCTGCCAAGCCACCTTGCTGGGCTCAGGCCTGACATACTCTTCATATACAGGTATACTCTTATAGTTTTTTGGGGGGTGGGGGACACAGGCCCTGATGTTAAAGGAGAATATGACAGCTCATTTGGTACCATAGCAGAAGAAAGACTACAGAACAAACTGGGGAATTGCCCGAATCAAATGATGACAGCAAAAAAATCTTGGTGAATGGAGACTTGAGGCTTACGATGTCAGTCAGTGGACATTGGGTAGGCGACATCATCCTTGGATTGGTGAAATCGACAGCATTCCAGAACTATCCAAACGACTTGAGCAGAACCCTCAGAATATGTACACATTGAGACTCTGGGTTGATAAGAGGTGGCGGTTCCTCATCCCTGGGTACTGGGATGTGTGGAAAGTCGTGGGTGGCTTCTCCCTTTATCTCTCCCCTTCCCCCAGAAACAACAAGAAGAAATAGCAAAATTGGAAACAATGAGTTCACCCAGTTTTCCCTAAACCTCGATCGTTCTCACCCTGATCAACCATGTAATTATTATAAAAAATAAAAAGAATTTTAAAAAAGAACTTAGTTACTTCTTTCCCTAAGTGCCCATTGCAGCTGAGCTTGGGCCAGGTGGAAATCAGGAGTTGGATACCCAATCCAGGTCTCTCAGCTAGGTAGCAGGGACCCAGGTATTTTAGCTGTGACCTGCTGCCTCCCAGTCTTTGTGATTCTAAACCAGAATCTGGATTAAAACATGCTGTCTCTTTAAGATCTGCTGTGGTTGCCCCGCCCTAGGAAGGAAGGGAAGGTCAGCTGAATTCAAGTCATGTGACTCGGCAACCTTCCACCAGCTGAAGTTGGTGCTGCATGTGCGGCTGTAGTGAGCCGGGTTGGGGCTGGGGACATCGCGCCCCCGGCCCCATGCTCCTCTTGGGTCTACTTCTGTTCTCAGCCCCGTTCGGCCTGTTAGGGGAAGAGACTCGACTGGTAAGGGCTCTGGGGCGAAGGCAATGGAGCTTTCAGGAAATGCCTCCCTTGCAGGGTGGCTGGAATCTGGGGCAACCACTGGATGGGAGTGGGAAGGGTGGCTGCGAAGGGAAGGGCTGTTTAGTCCGGGAAATGGGGGCAGTCAGGGCTCCATGGAACAGGATTGGGCAGTAGCCTGGGACCTGACTCAGCCCTGGGTGCCCCAGGTGCAGGTGAACACTGGCCTTTTGTTGTCTCCCTGCTGTGCCCTTCCCACCTCCCCACTTCCATGGGGCAGTCCCGGTTCTGCCCCTCTGCCCTTCCACCCTGGGGTCCCCTTGGCTCCCACGCATTCCTCTCGGCTGGGCTCCAGAGTCCCACACTTGCTCAAGTCCCGTCCCTCACCCTCAGGTCTTTCCTTTACCTGTGACTCCTGTCTCTCCCACCCTCCCCTGTTCTGTACATCAGGTGTCTCTCGAGGTCATCCCTGACCATTCAGGCCCCCCCGAAAATCTGCTTCACATCCGGGCAGTGGGCGCCAACTCCACACTGCATTATGTGTGGAGCAGTCTGGGCCCGCCAGCCGTGGTGCTGGTGGCCACGAACACCCCCAAAAGCCTCCTAAGAGTCAACTGGAGCCTGCTGCTCTCCCCTGAGCCCGATGGCGGCCTGGTGGTGCTCCCTAAGGACAGCATCCAGTTTTCTTCTGCTGTTGTCTTTACACGGGTGAGCAGGTGGTCAGGGGGGAGGGAAGAGAACCAAGGAGTGGGTTCAGCCCAAGATAGACTGGGGGCTGATGGGCTGATGGGCAGGGACAACTCTAATGGGAGAGCCTGCAACAGGTGGAGAGTGGGCAGGTGTGACTCAGGACACCAGACCTGAGGCAAGCCCAGATCCATCCCCTTCCCCAGCTGCTTGAGTTTGACAGCACCAATATGTCTGACGCGACAGCAGAGCCCCCTGGAAGACCTTATCCTCCCTACTCCTTGGCCGAGTTCTCCTGGAATAGCATCAACAACACGCTGGATCTTGCCACTCTGAGCGCTACATTTCAAGGCCGTCCCACGCGTGACCCCACCAAGTCCTTTGCCAATGGCAGTCTGACCTTCAGGGTAAGGGTGTGGGGAAACCACAAGGAACTCCAAAGGCTGGTATATGTAGGGTAGGGGGCTAAGGATAGCAGTAGCCCTTGAGCACTATTCCATTCGCTTCCTTCCTTCCTAGGTTCAGGCCTTCTCCAGATCTGGCCGGCCAACCCAACCCCCTCGTCTCCTGCACACGGCGGACACCTGCCAGCTAGAGGTGGCGCTGGATGGGACCTCTCCCAGGGGAAACCATTCCCTGTTTGGGTTGGAGGTCGTCACCTTGGGGCCGGCCCCTGACTGCCCCACAATGAAGGAACAACACTCCATTGATGATGAATATGCACCTGCTGTCTTCCAGGTCAGGCTCCCATGGACAGTCGGGGGGAACCTGGGTGGTACCCTATGAGGGCCTCAGAAAAGTGCTCTCATTTACCATTTGGCAATACTTCTCCTTTAAGTGCTGGGCTCTGTGTGCAGGAGTCCCACCTGTCTCCGCCCTCCCAGGACACAGGACAAAAGTCAGGGCAGTATGACTCACGCTTTGGCAGACAGGGGATATGCAAGGGCCAGGAGGCTCAGAGGACGGTGCTGAGTGCTGACTTGCCAGACTGGAAAAAGGGTTCAGGACTCTTCAAGCTGGAGTCCCTGTTTCTGTATGGGGGTGAGGTGGTAAGGCAGTGGAGGTCCCCATGCAAGCAGGCCTGGGACTCAGGATTCCTGCTGCCCCTAACGTGTTGCTGGTCATAAGCTAGAGGCTGGGAGGGGATGGGAAGGAGGAGGAGGAGAGGGGCTGGGCATACATTGCTCTTCACCCTGCCGTGTCTGTCTGCCTTTTTCCTCAGCTGAACCAGCTGCTGTGGGGCGCTGCCCCATCAGCCTTTGTGCAGTGGCGCCCAGTGGCTTTCTCCCAGAAGCACGGGGGTCGGGAATCCTCCCTGCCATGCCAGGCGTCCCCTCTTCACTCTGCATACTCACTCCCTCAGTCACCCATTGTCCGTGCTTTCTTCGGGTCCCAGAACAACTTTTGTGCCTTCAACCTGACATTCGGGGCCTCCACAGGTCCTGGCTACTGGGACCAAAACTACCTCAGCTGGTGAGAGCCAGGGCATGGGCCCAGGGGCTGAGGGCGGTGGGGAGGACATTGCAGAGCAGGATTGCCAAGCCTCCCAGGCTCCTCTCCTGCACCTGCTCAGCCCTCCCTTTCTCTCTGCTTGATCTAGGTCGATGCTGCTGGGTGTGGGCACCCCTCCAGTGGACACTTTATCTCCTCTAGTCCTGGGCATTATGGTCGTGGCCCTGGGTGCCCCCTGGCTCCTGCTGCTGGGGGGACTGGTGATTCTGTTGCTGCACCGCAAACGGTATTCCGAATACCAGTCCTTAAACTGAAGCCCACTCTCCACAAGGAGGGTTGGCGAGTGCTTCACCTACCCCATTGTGCTTTGGATCTCTGGAGCCGAAGAGTCAACATCCCCACCTGGTCCTTTTCTCCCATTTCGCTTCTCCGCAGAACTCAGACCAACCTGAACTTCTGGGACCCCTAGTGGTAGGGATGGGCAGGGCTTACTTCCTACCTTGGAGTGGGGTCAAAGGCAGTTATGCCAAAGGGAAGTTCACCCTTGGTGGTGCTTCCCTTCCTGTCACCCCCATTCCTCTCTGATGGGACTCAACAGAACTGAGCAAAAGGCCTTTTTTAAAAGGGCTGGCTAGACCTCATGCGGTGGCCTAGAGGCTAAAGTCCTTGCCTGGAACGTGCCAGGATCCCAAATGGGCACCAGTTTTAATCCCAGAAGCTCCACTTCCCATCCAGCTCCCTGCTTGTGGCCTGGGAAAGTAGTTGAGGACAGCCCAGTGCTTTGGGATCCTGCACCCACGAGGGAGACCTGGAGGAAGTTCCTGGCTCCCGGCTTTGGATCGGCATAGCATCAGCCATTGCGGTCACTTGGGGAGTGAATCATCAGACAGAAGATCTTTCTCTCTGTGTTTCCTCCTCTCTGTATATCTGACTTTGTAATAAAATAAATAAATAAATCTTTGAAAAAAAAAAAAGGTGGATGAGCCCGGTGGCGTGGCCTAGTGGCTAACGTCCTGGCCTTGAATGTACCAGAATCCCATATGGGCACCGGTTCTAATTCCAGCAGCTCCACTTCCCATCCAGCTCCCTGCTTGTGGCCTGGGAAAGCAGTCGAGGACGGCCCAATGCTTTGGGATCCTGCACCTGTGTGGGAGACCTGGAGGAGGTTCCTGGCTCCTGGGTTCAGATCAACACAGCACCGGCCATTGCGGTTACTTGGAGAATGAATCATCGGACGGAAGATCTTTCTCTCTATCTCTCCAGCTCTCTGTATAACTGACTTTGTAATAAAAATAAATAAATAAATCTTAAAAAAAAAAAAGGCGGGGGGGGGGGCGGGCGCGGGGACTGGCTGCCCTGGAAGGCATAAAAATAGAAATATTTTTCCACAGGATCCCAGTCTCACTATGTGAGTGCTGTGCAGCTGGGTTGGGGGCTGAGCCAGGGCACAGGGGGGCTTAGAAGGCAGCTTCTGTTTGAGGCCGGGTTTCCTCCCTGGACCTCATCCTCTCCCTCACTGTGGGGCCCCGAGCTCTTGTCAACCTCCATTTGTTGCTGCTCAGGGCTAAGAGGTTTCCCTCTTAGCAGGTGCAGCCTGAATCCAAAGAGAAAGCCACTGGGGGCAAACAGGAAGAGCCAATGCGAACTGTAGTAGCACTTTATTGTTACATTGTATCACCTGCACATACACTGGATGGACAGGAGCCACTCTGCCATACAAGCAGGCTCCAGACACCATGTGCTCACACACATACATGCAACACACACACCCATGACCCTCTTGAGAGACAGAATTCCCTGTCTGTCCTCCCCGCATACAGGAGAGGTAGGAAATTCTAGTGGCCCATAAAGGTTGGATGGAGGAAGCAGTTGTTTTGGACTGGGACAACTGTAAGCGATTTCCCAAAAGGCTGTGACCTTGGAGGGTCCCGAACCCAGCTCCCCCAGAACAAGAGTCTTGATTTGATCTCATGCTCAGCCACCTGCCTTTGGGCATAGGCAGTATTTCCAGTTTTTTCAAGGCCCCGTCCCCGCCGAGATAGGTGAAAGAGGGGCTTTGGCCTTGCCCCGTGACGGCGGCAGAGTTCTGCAAAGCAGTGAACCCGCGAGGGAGGCTGGCTGCTCAGGCGCTGGGTCCCTGCGAAGGTGAAGGGCAGCACCCGCTCTGACCAATGGTCAGGGCTGGGGTCGAAGTCCAGGCACGCAGCCCCGGGACGGCTCAGCCCCACGGGCGGGGTCTGTGCTCGGCTGCGGAGCGGGCGTGGTCCGGGTAGTCCAGGCGGCTCTCCGAGGCGGTGAGCATACGCTCTGGCTCCACGGCGAACATGTAGTAGAGGTTCCACACCAGCATGCACAGCAACGGCAGGAAGGTGAGGCCGTATCCGAAGCCGCGGAAGGAGCGGCCCACGGCGAAGGTCAGCCAGTAAATCAGCCTGTGATGATGGAGAAAAAGCTCGGGCTACTCTCGAGAGAAGGGTAGCTGCCCGCTGGCACCGAGACTGGGCAGTGTGCAAGGCGAGGCCTGTGCCCTTGGCTGGGACTTCTAGCTACCACCAGCCCGGCTTTGCGCACTTCCTGCTCACCAGGCAGGGTGATAATCAATGGAAGTGCACGGGTTGGTCGTGTCTTCCCCACACCCCTCGGAGATGAGTGTACCAGTGCCGCCCTCTTTTATGTATTTACCTTTCAAGTTGTAAGTGAAGCGATTTTTTTTTAGAGCCTTCGGCCCAGCAGTTAAGACACCCTCCTTCCTTACAGCAGTGTCTTGGCTGCACCCTAATTCTGGCTTCCTGCCAGTGGTGCTCTAGAAGGCAGGGGATGGGTGACGGCTCAAGGATCTGCCACCTCTGTGGGAGACCTCAGTGGAGTTCCTGACTCCTAGCTTTGGCCTGTCGCAATTGGAGAGCGAGCCAGTGGATGGAAGTTGTGCTCTCATTCCACACCCACCCTAATTTCTCAAACAATCAAAAATTTTTTTGAGTGGACCTTACACATAACTCAAAGGTCAATAAGGTAATAGCTTCCTGGCCCGATTCCATTCTGTTCTTCCCCATCTCCACCCTACCTAGGCATCCAGTATTAGGGATTTTATGCACTGATTTTTTTTGCATAGATAAACAAAACTTTTTTGTTTGTTGATTTTTCTCCCATTTGATAATACTCTATCTTGGAGATAATTTCATGTCAGCATGTAAATAGTTGCCTCATTCTCTGATAGCTGTAATGTGGTTCTGTTGCATTTGATCCCAAAGGGGGATAAGTCAGACCAACCAAAGTCAACCTGGGACACAACAAAGCCATGCTTTGAACCCAAGCCTGCGCATCAGCCACACTCAGACCAATTTAGAAGGAATGAGTTAGGAAATCAGCTTCAAGAGGGTATGAGCCAGCATTGTGGCATAGCAAGTAAAGCTGCTGCCTGCAACATCATTATCCTAAATAGGCACTGGTTTGAGTCCCTGGCTGCTTCTGTTCCCATCCAGCTCCCTGCTAATGACCTGGGAAAGCAGTGGAGGATGGTTCCAGTGCTTGGGCTCCTGCACCTACATGAAACACCCAGGAAAAGACTCCTTGGGGCCAGTGCGGTAGCCTAGTGGCTGGGGTCCTCACCTTGAATGTGCCAGGATCCCCTATGGGCACCAATTCATGTCCTGGCTATCCACTTCTCATCCAGCTCCCTAATTGTGGCCTGGGAAAGTAGGAGAGGATGGCCCAAAGCATTGGGACCTGCACCCGCGTGAGAGACCCAGAAGAGGTTCCTGGCTCCTGGCTCCTGGCTTCAAATCAGTGCAGATCCAGCTGCTGCAGCTGCTTGAAGCACGAATCATTGGTTGAAAAATCTTCCTCTTTTTTTTTTTTTAAGATTTATTTTATTTTTATTGGAAAGGCGGATATACAGAGAGAAGAGACAGAGAGGAAGATCTTCCATCTGATGATTCCCTCCCCAAGTGAGCGCAACAGTCGATGTTGTGTCGATCCAAAGCCAGGAGCCTCTTCCAGGTCTCTCACACAGGTGCAGGGTCCCAAAGCCTTGGGCCGCCCTCGACTGCTTTCCCAGGCCACAAGCAGGGAGCTGGATGGGAAGAGGGGCTGCCGGGATTAGAACCGGCGCCCATATGGGATCCCGGGCGTGCAAGGCAAGGACCTTAACCACTGCGCCATCATGCCGGGCCCAAAATCTTCCTCTTTGTCTCTCTCTCATCCCATCTTTCCTGGCAGGGAGCCAGGTGGGAAGTGAAACAGCTGGGACATGAATTGGCGCCTATATGGGATCCCAGCATGTACAAGGTGAGGATTTAGCCACTGAGCCATGGTACCGGGCTAAGTGTTACTGTTTGAAGAAGCACCGTGAAGAAAACCTTTGAATCCTCCCAATTTTGTTATAGAAACATGAAATGGGAAGTCTGCGGTTGGCGCAGTGGCTTCACAGACGAATTCTCAAGATACCAGTGTTGGTATCCCATGTGGGTGTCAGTTCATGTCCTGGCTGCTCTACTTCCCATCCAGCTTTCTGCTTGTGGCCTGGGAAGACTGTAGAGAACAGCCCAAAACCTTGGGATCCTAACCTGCATAGGAGACCTGGAGGAGGCCCCTGGCTTTAGCTCAGCTCTGGCCACTGTGGCCACTTGGAGAGTGAACCAGGAGATAGCAGATCTCGTTCCCTCTCTTTGCAACTCTGAGTTTCCAAGTAAAAATAAATAAACCTTAAAAAATAATGAACTAAAATGGGAAATCTCAACCACTGAGTTCCCTTTGGCTCCTGGGTGATTCTTTTAGCTCAGGATAACATCTACCTGATATCAGTATTCCCCCGGGGTTATGAATGGGAGGTTGGATGATGTAGGAGGAACGTATTAGGAAACCTATGGGGAGAAATGCAAAGCTGCATGGCAGGCAAGAGGCCAGCTGACCACAACGCAGTCATCAGAAGTCCCAGGAAGTCCAGTTGCAGCTCAGTGGGCATATCTAGGCTGTGAGAGCGACCTGAAATCCTGTACTGAGAACAGCAAGAGGAAATTTAGTTGGGGGCTGAGGGGAATTCAACAAGCTCCATTTGGGTTTGGAAATTCAAGTTCACATGAAAAATAAATCCTAAGGATTCCAGGCAAAAGCAAGCTTTGACTCAAAGGAGAATAATAAGGCTGCCAAAGGGGCCAAGGTGACCCTGATCAGCACGACCAAGATGGCACCCTCGCTGCTGCTTGTGGCTTACTAGCAAGATTTCCTGCCCAGCTGAGGGGGCCAGGACAATGAAGGGTGCAGGGCCACGTAGCAAAGTAGAGATGGTGAGTGGGGAGACTTGACAGATGTCATCAAATATTGGAATCTGTCCTGGGCAGGTCTGGAGAGTGATCGAAGTCAGGACAGAAGGTCTAACACAATATGAAAAAGAATGTCCTAATAACAAGTTTAAGAAGTAAAACCTAGAGGGGGAACCTGGCGCGATGGCTCAATTGACTAATCCTCCTTTCACAAGCACTGGAAGCCAGCTCAGGTCCCAGGTGCTCCACTTCCTATCCAGTTCCCAGTTCCCTGCTTATGGTCTGGGAAAGCAATGGAAGATGTCCCAAGGCCTTGGAACCTTGCACCCACATGAGAGACCTAGAAGAAATTCCTGGCTCCTGGTTCCTGGTTTTAGAAGGGCTCAGCTCTGGCTGTTGTGGCCATTTGCAGAGTGAACTAGTAGATAGAGAATCTTTCTCTGTGTGTCTCCTTTTCTCTGCAGATCTGCCTTTCCAATAAAAATAAATCAATTAAAAAAAGAAAAAGAATGAAGCATTTGATCACAGGGCGTATTCAGCTGGAAGCTAAAAGCAAACACAACAACAACAACAAAACACTGGATCCAAGTCCCCAGGAGGAGTGGCTACACCAGGTACCCCAATCTCTGTGACACTTGAAAGCCTTCTAGTCCTGTGCTGGTAAGTTGTCTCTGAAATCAACTTCCTACTGGAAGCCAGAGGAGCTGACTACCTCCTCCAGGTGAGGACAATGCAAGAGAGGATTCTAGCTTCATCTCTCCAGGCATATGTCTAGGCTAATTCAGAGTCAGATGCACAGGGGCCTGGTTCTGCTGCATGACTTCCCACTTACACACACACACACACACTTGCACACACACACACACAACTCCCACCCCAACTCACCGAGAGATGGCAAAGAGGCCTGTGAGCAGAGGCAGCAGCTTGAGGGTGTCCTGGGGCAGGTAGGTAGACAGCACAGCCAGGTTGAAGAAATACAGGATAAAGAGTTGGACAGACTGGGCCACATAGCGCCGGTGAATCTCCACCTCCCGCCGAGGCTCCCCGAAGGGCCGCAGGGCGGAAAAGCATATCAGGCTCAGCCCGTATACCAGGAGCCCTGAATAGGGATGGGAAACGCACAGGGGTCAGAAGAGGCAGGTACTAGTGTCTGGGCCAGGAGGTCCTGACAACAAGTGGGGGAGGCCCTAGTGGGACCAGTCTGAATGAGAGTGCGTTCTCCTGCCCTTTTCAAGTCTATGTCCTGGGTACCCCCCTCTTCTTCTCCCTGGTCCCCTGGGACTCACCCAGTACGATGGGGAAGGTGGCAAAGACCCCACAGCGCAGCGTATAGATCAGGCGAGAACTCATGGTAGGCAGCCGTGGGGCATCGAAGGGCAGGAAGGCGTAGGCTCCGTACAGCAGGCATGGGAAGAGGATGAGGGCGGCTCCCACTGAGGCCACGGCCCTCAGTCCCTCGCGGCCACCACAACCCCCGCAGCCTGCACAGGACCGGCCGGGAGGCTTGACCACCGCCTCAGCCCACCTGCACTCAGGGGGATCAGGGTGGGGAAGCCGGGCAGGGGGCAGCAAGGCTCGGCGTTCCCCCTCCGCTGCCTCACAGCGCACAATGAGATCTTCCTGGGGCCGCCGCTCGATGCACTGCAGATCGATGGGCACGAAGGCCCGGGCTGCCTTGGCAGGCAGCGGATTGGCATCATCCTCAGGCAGCTCCTCAGGTTTGATAGGTGGCTCTGATTCCAGAGGTTCCAGCTGTATATCCCTCCAGCCCGGAGGATCCGGGAAAGGGGCACAGGGCTGGGGCTCGGTGCCCCAGGGCAAGGTGGCAGCCTCGCTCACGGTGCTATCAAGACCATCCTCGGCTGCTTCTTTGGTTGTGGGAGATCCAACTGATAACTCCCCCTGGAGAGACCCAATTCCAGGAAGGTGGGACTCGGTCCCACCTTCACCTTCTGGCTGCCGGCCATTGGGAAGCAGGTCCTGGGGGGGTGGGTTCTTCTCGGGGGCCTCGGGCAGCTTCACTTCCAGTAGGGCCAGGGTCTCGGGCTCGGTCATGCTGGAGCTTCCACGCTGGGGGTGGGCATCCAGTCTAAGGTCCTGTCATCCTATGTGAGTGGGAGGGGCTGCAGAGAGGAAAGTTTCATGAGATTCCCCTGGGCCAGGGCCCCTTCTGGCACCTTAGGGAGAATGTGGCTCAGAGGAGGGTGTTGAAACCGAGGAAGGTAGGAGGGAGCTGGAGTGGAGGCATGCATGCTTTCAACACAGGAAGCTGTCTGGCAGGAGGGGGTGAGTCAGGGGCACAGGCACTGCCCTCAGTCAGCCCCCACCCAGGCCTTCTACCTACTCTACCAAAAACCCCCAAACTCAAGGCTACCAAAATGCAAGAAAGGAAAGAAGAGGAGAGGAAGCACCTAGACGATAATCAAGGGCTTCTTTCTCACCAAGGAGCTTCCTGTGGATAAAGCAGCAGCCGGTCCCTCCACCAGCCTTACAGATCCTGCCTGGGACTCCCCTGGCAGATACCAGTCACCACTGATGGGTCTGTCCCCCAAGGAGCTGGCAGCTGCAGGGCACCCTGCCCTCGCGTCTCCAAGTGGAGTATATGGCTGGTCTCCAATTTTCTTGCTAGCTCATCTGGGTCTGTTCATTCGTGGCCTGACTTCCATGCCTTCTTTCCCTGTCCCATCTTTCTCCATTCCCTGCCGACCTCTATTTTGGGGCCTCTGGAAGGGGCCCATTCCCCCTCAAGTCTCCCCATGGCATCTGGGTCCAGGACACCCTCTTACTTTGAGTCTGGAGAGAGGCGGAGGGTCGCCAGCGTTCAGGAAGCAGCTTCCCAGCTCTCTCGCTGGTTCTGCAAGTATTTCTGTCGACTCTCCCTCGCTTTACCAGTGTTTCCAAACCTGTCTAACCAGAGCAGGTGGGGCCCTGATTAAAGGGGCAGGCCCTGCCCTGCTGAATCTGCCGACCGAAAAAAACCTTGGAGGCAGACATTGTCCTTTCTCAAAGTGGTGGTGGAGTGCAGCGGTGCCTGGAGGCGAGTTTGTGTTCTGAGCACCTAAGATGTCTGAAGACTCTCCCCATTCAGGAAAGCAAGAAGAGAAAGAGGAGTTTTGTGTACCAAAGGGTGTTTGGAATCAGCTGGTTACAACCAGGAGAGAGCTGGAATTTGTACGTTTACTCATTCCATAAATATTTATTGAGCACTTGTTCTTAGCCTCTGTGCTAGGCACTGACACACAAGGACAAGTTAAGATCTCTGTTCTTTGAGGGTAGCAGATACTAGTGGAAGACTAGCAGTGAGATAAGGCTGTGTCAGCAGAGATGACACTGGAGCTGAGCTCCGATGGGACACCCGGGACACAGGCACTGAGAGTGTTCCAAGTAGAGGAACAGTGGAGTGGTGGGGGGGAATGCTAATGGGGGAAAGACTCACATGTTGCTGTTACAGGAACAGAAAGAAGGCGGGGAGTTGGACCCAAGAGTACAGTGATAAGAAGGGGAGGGGTTAGGTCTTCGTCATAACAGAATGTTTTGCTCTTCAGATTTGGTTTAAAGTTCAGAGAACAGGAGTTGTTCAGATATCATACATGATTTTTGCAGTGCGAGGCTCAGTGTGCAGAAAGGGGAGAGGGTGGCTTCTTTTTCCTTTATTTATTTATATATTTATTTTTATTGGAAGGCAGAGCTACAGAGAGACAGAGAACAAGAAAGAACCATCCACTGATTTGCTCCCCAAGTGACCGCAACAGTCAGAGTTGAGCCAATCTGAAGCCAGGAGTCAGGAACTTCTTCTGGGTCTCCCACACAGGTGCAGGATCCCAAAGCTTTGGGACATTCTCAACTGCTTTTCCAGGCCACAAGTAGAGAACTAGAAGAGAAGTATAACAGCCGGGACATGAATTAGCACCCATATGGGATTGTGACAGCAATCACAAGGTGAGGATTTAGCCCCTGAGCCATTGCACAGGGCCCTGCTGTTCATTGTTAGGGCCCCTATTGGGTACTTCCACTGCAGGGGTTGCATGCATCGGGTCCCAGGTCATAGTGGTCTTCCAGCCTCTCCCCTATCTGAAGTTTGCCTTGCCCTGCTTCGATAATTGCCAAGCAACTTCTTAAGAAAGCTCACCGAGTCGAGAGAGCAATGCAGTGGCCCCTCTGGGGTGTGAGAGCTCAGGACTCAAGTGGTCACTGATCTCCCCAGTGGATAACATCTTGGTGTTATCTTGCTGGGAGCTTTGCTCAGGAACCCCAGGCTCCCAGCCAGAACTAACTACCTCCCAAGTAATCACATCATCATCATTAAAGTTCCCAAAAGAAGATGGCATTGTGAACCAATCAAGACAGCCATGAGTGCTGGGCATCAACCAGGAATTTGCCCACAAGCCAAACACCTCCTTCTGTACCCCCCCACTTCATCTAGGAGAATCTTTACCCATAATCTCTGGAGGAGTCCTGGAATGAGCTGACAGTTGCCCAGCTCTTTGCTCTACAGTTTGTGGTAAATACCTAGGGTCTTTACCCACGCCAGCATCAGGACTTGCAGAAGCCGGAAACACTGCTGTGTGTTGGGTAAAGTAGATCCCAATTTGGGGCTTCTACAGCAATTTCTCCAACCAAATTTGGGGCTGTTGTGTGACAAGAGCCCTAAAATCATCTGAGTTTTCTAGGTGTCAGCGACAGGGTTTAAAATTGCCTTTCTTTCTTTAAGATTTATTGGAAAGGCAGATATACAGAGAGGAGGAAAAGCAGAGAGAAAGATCTTCCGACCGATGATTCACTCCCCAAGTGAGCGCAACGGCCGGTGCTGCACCGATCCAAAGCCAGGAACCAGGGTCCCAAGGCGTTGGACCATCCTCGGCTGCTTTCCCAGGCCACAAGCAGGGAGCTGGATGGGAAGTGGAGCTGCTGGTATTAAAACCGGCGCCCATATGGGATCCCGGCGCGTTCAAGGCAAGGGTTTAGCCACAAGGCCACCGTGCCTGGCCCTAAATTGCCTTTCTTTGTCCCAGAACTCAAAGCATTAGCTGGAAGACAGCAGGTGTCCAATAACTGCTTGACGGGCCGGGGCAAGATGGGTAGATATGGAAGCCGGATATTTTTTGGCAGGGAGAGCTGAATCGTGTTTTCCAGGGCCTGACTCCAAGTTGAAGCTCGGCCATACCCAAGGAAACTTTTGCATACACTTCTTTTCGTTTAAATTCTGGAATAAAGGGAGAAATGGAGTCATATGAAAGCGGCGTGGCCCAAAGAGGAGTGGGTGTGTGTGAAGCAGCAAAGGGGCAGAATGACGGCCCAGAGGAGCATCGTGAACCATGCTCCTGCGGGGAGCCTTCTCGCCGGGAACTAGAGCGGCTCTAGTCACCTCCCTGGCTCCCGTCTGTTCTCCGGTAGCTTTGTTAATAAAGTTTTTTTCGCAGGGACTTGCAAAAACCGGAAAGAGGTCATGCTGCTCACTTAGTTCGGGCTACTTCCCGGGAGGGAAAACGAGTTTCGCGAGATTTGAGAGCAGCAGCCGACTGGCCCGCCACAGGACGGCTGCTCTCGCGAGATTTGGCAGGTGGAGGAGGAGCTGTCTCGGGCAGCCGCCTCACAGCGATGGCGGCCGAGCAGGGCCGGCGGCGGTGGCGGCTGCGGCTACGGCCGGAGACGGCAGTGGTGGCGGTAATGGTGGGTGGTGGGGGCTTGTGACCGGGAGCCATCCCCGGACCCGGGCACCATGAGCCAAGGCCCCCCCACGGGGGAGAGCAGCGAGCCCGAAGCAAAGGTCCTCCACACGAAGCGGCTTTACCGGTGAGAGGGGCCGGGGCGTGAGTGCAGCCCCGGAGGGACGTGGGGGGGATGGAGCGGGGCGGGGCGTCCGCGCGGGCGGGGCCGAGGTGCAGACTTGGGGTGCAGCGCGGGCGGACCGGGCCGATTTTGGAGGGAGCAGGTGGGGGCGGGGCCGTCACCCCGGGGTGGAAGCGAAAGGCGGAATTGGGTGGGTGGGAAGCACGTGGAGCACTCCCCGCGCACCGAGTGTAGGGCGGGCAGGAAGCTTTGCCGAATTGGGGTCTGCGGGTGCTGGGTAGGTGAGGGTCCGGGATAGGAAAAAAAAACAAAAAACAAAAACAAAACCCAGGCGGGAATGGTGCTTGGAATTCTGTAGGCTGTGCAGAGAAATGTGCTGGAACTGAAGCCCGGAGAGCGAGGTTCGGGTCCTAGCTTTCCCCCTCTGTCGCGGTGTGACCTTGAACCTCAGTTTCCTTGTCCTTAAAAGGAGAGGTCTGGGTGAGAGCCTCCCTGAAGGCCCCTGTGGCTGTAATAAAGGCAGTCTGTCTGAATGAGAAACGTGTGGACCGTGAAGGACTTGGGACCTTAGTGTCCTAACGACGTGAGAACTCTTTTTTTTTTCCTCCTCCGGGTGCCTGGGCTAGCCTACAATCTCTCACCAGGCAGCCTCCTCCATTCCTGGCTTCTGATTCCCACGGTGCCACCCACACTCCGCAGCCCTGTGTTTGGGAAACAGGCCATTCAAAACCTCTTCCCACCCAGTGGGGGAGGAGGAGGAGACTGTGTATAGGTCATCTGGGTCGTGGGCACCAGAACAAGATCCAAAGCAGATGAAATATAGATAATGAATTGAGGTGGGTTTGGGGCTTCTCGGGCTCTGTAGAGCAGGGTGTTTGCTTGAGAAGACCACCCTGGGACAGCCCAGCTGGGGGCTGCCTCTGAGAGCAATCCAGATAGGGTTGACTTTTTCTCCTTGTAGAGGCACACTGCCTGCTCTGGCTTTGCAAGCGGGCAGGCAGAGGGGAACATGGGCTCCTCCAAAAATAGAAGCATGATCCAACCAGGCAGCCCCTGGGTTCCCACTGTGGGCTGTCCCCACCGGCCTTGAGCTGATGAGGAGCTCCGGGAGGGGCCCATGGGCCCTGGCAGACAGAGCGTGGGCAGTGTCTGCAGCATTCCTTATTTGTCTCCAACTCTCTGGGGGTTGGCTCTGGTCATCCTTGAATTCTCAAATCTAGCTTTTTCCAGAAACAGCACCTCACAGTGTAGTGCATGTGTGGTTT